TGAGACTCAAATTTATTTGAGAGAAGCCACCGATGCCTCGTGGGGCGGAATGGAGGCACAAATGTGGGTGGAGAAAGATTCCACTTCCAAACCATCATCACCACCGCAAGTGAGATTCTCATTTATTTTCGCTCCCGCGGTCTAAAACCGTGGCCGGCGTTTGCGCATGGTGTACTTGGAGTCGTCCGTCGTGGGGAGACCAAACTTGCGCCTTTCGGCTTTCTTAAGCAGCACCCATTCTTTCGTGCCTGTGACGGGACGATTGTCCTTCCGGCGCCTCTTGCGAGCCGGACCGTCGTTGTGAGAGCGGGAACGTTTCACACGCACGCGACCACCCACACGAGCCGTCATATATTGTTCATCACCCTCCTCGTCGCTGAATGAGGCTTCATCCTCTTCATCACTGTCGTGAACGTCAATCGGCAAACGGGGAAGAAACCCACTCGCAACTTGACCGGCCTGTATCACCAAATAATGCTTTTTCGCCTTGGCACTGTGTGGGAAATCTACCACCATGCCACCCGTAAAACCGCATAGCATGGCGGCACGTGTGATCATGTGCACTTGTTCAACATTGCTTGGGTAAAACTGAAGAGCGGCCTTCGCGCCTCGATGGAGTGCATTGTAAAGGGATTGAAACAGCGCACGTAGACGTCGCTGTGGCACATGTCCGCGACAGTCACTTTGACAAAGCCACTGCACCGCTGATATAGAGACTGCTCCGTCAAAGGACCCGGGACGAAACGGCAAACCCTGACCCATGTCTCCACGCAGAACCTCAACCATTGAAGGGCCCGTCATCGTACCAGTATTTTCTTCTTCATTGCCCTCCTCATCCTTGTCGTCGTCGTCCGATTCCGTAATAAGACCCCACTTCACATTTTTAAGATCATTGCCAGGATTACATCCACCACATTCTTTTGAGCCATCTTGCCCATCACTATGTGAATCCTCTTCCTTTCCCAGCTTAGATTCCTCCTTCTCTTCCAGCTCCTTGGCCAGCATCAACATGTCTTTGCTGATGTCCACACCAATCCACGTGTGTCCCACTTCACGAATCACATCTCCACTGATCCCACTGCCACACCCAATGTCCAACAGTAACGCTTGTCGACCAGAAGGAATGCCAAGAAGTTCTAATGCACGCAATGTCATGGCCCTCTGCACCGTCTGGACACGCGTGCTGCTGGTGTAACGGGTGGCACCAGTTTTGTTGTAGAGAACATCCGGCGGGTTCTCAAATTCCGGGCGTGGAGGAGGCATAAACGTACACCTAACAAAAGCTGCTGCATCGCCCAAATAAAAAAAAAAAAAAGATGTGGAAGGTAAAAAACCAAAGTAGAAAAAACCCCGATCACTTTTGATCTCAGTCATGTGTTTGAAGTGCACAGAGAAGGTCCTGGAAATAGTGTTTGCGCATCTCAAGACTTTCTGCCTATTATCTCTGTTTTTTCTTTTTTTTTTCGCCCATTTCCCCCTTCATTTTTTTTTTTTTTTTTATAATCCACTCATTCCCGGTCTTCCCTCCCTCAGTGCGCTCGAGTGAACAAAACAAAAAAAGGAAAGGCGGCAATCTCACACCTCTCCCAATGTAGACAATTGCCGCATAAATCAAACAAACATTTGCAACAAAAGCCCAACATAGTAAGAAAAGAAAAAGAAAAAAGCATACGCACAATTGCTATTCTTATTCTAACAGCATAAGAAAGTATATATAATATATATATATGTATATATACTTATTATTATTATTATTATTCTCTGTTCCTCTCATTCTTCTGATGCTGACACCAAACAAATACCTGAATCCCTTCGTGATTTTTCGCTTTGTGATTCTTATTCTAAACCTTACCTTCGGCTTGGATACGATTTGGCCGAGAGAAGTGGTGGTCGTGGTGAAGGTGGCAAGGACGGCAGAAAACCGTCGCCCTCGCACGGTGCACATCTTCCTCATTTTCATATTTTTATTTTATTCGCTTGCCCACCGCTCTCCTCCCACCGCACACACAAACCATTCGACCTAGTGGCGATGTCATTTCATCGCTTTTCCCTTTTTTCTCCTTTAGATAAACGTGTTTAATAACACATGTATCAATGGCAATAGCATTCATATAAACATATACATATACATATATATATATGTGTATGCAACTCCTTTCATTCATAAGAAAAATACCCGCACTGTACTCATTACCAGAAAAGAGTAATAAATTCTTGTGGAATAGTTATTGAATATGGCCCCTTGTGAGCTGTACGCCTTTGGAAGTTGAGAAACAACAACATCTGGCACCGTTCAAAAGGGAGGGAAAACCGCATTGGCATGCAAGTGAAAACACCGGCAGAGTTATGGATGCATATATGTGTTCCCACTTCATTGGCAATCCCAAAAACGTCTGTAAAACCACACACACACACACACACACACCCAAAAAAAAAAAAAAAAAAAACGCACTCACCAGGTAAAGGCTGTAAGAAAACAAGAACAAAAAAAACAAACGCGTACAATGATTAAATAAATTCATTTTCATTTCTTCTTTTCTTTTTTTTTTTTCTTTCGTTTGTGCAAAAATGCCCCGTCCAGCCCACCCGCAGTCTCCCCATCGGACGCCTTCCGTCGACCGGCAAAATGTTTGGATTGTGCAAGACGCAATGAGGAACAACAACCAAAAAAAAAAAAAAAAATCGCTCACTTTTTTTTACCCGCTCGTTGCCGCCTCCTCCGTGTGGGCAGCAGTGGGAGGCGCGTGGGGGCGTTCCGAGTGGCGGCGGGGTTCATGAGCCGTACAGAAGGCACACAACTCCCCCTCCCCACACACATCGCTGCTGTTATTATCGTTAATGTTACCTGTTATGAGTGTCCCTGCGTCATGCCGCCGCTCATCATAATCTTCCGCACCGCACCGCACCTCCCCCTCCGCTGGACGTTGCGCTGTGTCTACCACACAGTCGCACATGAGGTTCAAAACAACAATAGTGGCACCATCCACTGCCGTAATACATATACATATATATATATATATATGTATACATCACTGCAGGAGGAGATGTTCCAAACGGTGTGATGATAAAACAAAACAATAATAAAAACAAAACACAAAAAAAGGAGGCAAAGGCTGAAACCACCGTTCACAGTCGTTAATATATTGTTGATGCCCGCGCGTGCGTACTCTCATTATTGCCCAACGCAGTCGTTTTCTGGCGCACAGTAAAGAAGAAAAAAAAACAGGCCTTCAAACGGCAAAGAAACAAACAAACAAACACGAAAAGAAGAAAAGAGTATACAGCAAAGGAAGAGGCCTTAACGGCTCCACCCCTCCTCCCCTGCCCCCTTCAACCCGATGCACTACAATATATCGCTGCGTAGCAACAGACAAAAAGATCAAAGGCATCAGTAAAAGTAAAAAAAAAAAGAGTTGGTGGTCGCAGTAAAAACAGCGCTAACTTTCGTAGAAACACAACAAACAATTAAAAAGCACACACACACACACACATAGAAAAAAAAAAAAAAGGCAAATAAAATTGCATCCCCCCTCCTCTCACGTTTTCTACCAAAGCCCGCCCGGACCGCGAATAGACAAAGCACCAAAAAATAAAATAAAATAAAATTGCGTCCTGTTTCTTTTTTTTTTTTTTTTTTTTCCGTTTTTCTTTCTTCCTTTTGTGCTATAATAAATCGCTTGCTAAAGACCCCCTCCTCCCCAGAAACCTTTTTGCTTCCTGTTCGTTTCACTTGTCTCTTTTCCGTTATTTTCCTCCCCTCCCCTCCCCCGTATACACAACACGGAAGGCGAAGGGGGCAACAAGAGCCGCCGCACCCACGCGGGAGAAAAAGAAGAGGCGGGCGACACAGCCATGGGACGAGTCCCCAAAAAATAAACAACAAAAATCAAAAATCAAAGAAAAGAAAGAAAAAAAGACGGAAGATCGTCTTGCCACCAATAACCGAGCGGATACGAAAAGCCCACGTGTGGCGTGGAGCGTACAGACGGAGTGAAACAGAGTCCTTGGACCTCATCTCGCCATGCGCACCCGCCGCAGCATCCCCTCATGCGTCGTCTCTTCCCCACCCCCCAGTCCCCGGCTGCCCCACCGCTTTATTAACCGTGCGGGGCCAACGAGGGACGGGAGAAGCGAAGGCCGTAAAACGCCTTTGGCGCAAAAGGAAAAAAAAATAAAAAAACATCGCGTGAATAAATGGGAATCAAAGAAAAATAAAATAAGAACCAAAGAAACAGCCACAAGAGCACCAAAGGCGCCCTCGCCTGAAAAAAAAAAAATTCCCTTCCTGCCCCAAATGAAAAAAACAACAACATAAATAAATCTTCTTCACGTGCTTTCATTTTTGACCATAAATAATTCGTTTCCCGGGAAGAATAAAATATTAAAGTCAAGAAAAAGGAATCATCAGCATGAGGTCACGAATAAATCAATGGTGTTGCGACTCAGGAGTGAATTCCACACAAACCGGTATAAATAAACGTCTTCTTTTCTTTTTTTCTTCTTTGCTTTTTATTTTTATCTTATTTTTTTTTTTTTCCGTCGGCTTATCCATCTCATCTGTTTCTCTTTTTTGTCCAAAAGGTGTAAAAAAAAATTTTTTTTCCTTTTTTTTTTTCTCCCTTCCTTGCATCCTCTCAGTGTCGTCTCATATTCTGGAATACGCCTCTATTAACTCTCCCTCTCTTTATTCCTTCCTTCCTTTTCCCTGCTGTTGGAGAGGCTGCGTAAAGTTGAAAAGAAAAGAAAAGAAAAGAAAAGGGAATGATTTGTGGCGGTGGTTGTGGTGGGAAAGGCGCGTGGTTGGGAATCGAGAAGCGGGTGTTTTAACGAAGGCCTTCGCGCTATATTTTTATTTATATATTTATTTATAGATATATGTGCATGCATGCATGACATGCCAAGTCTCTTTTTAATTCATGGAGAAGCATTGCTGACCGACGGTAACGATAAATATATGAGACTTTAACTGGGAGAAAAAAAAAAAAAA